CAGCCATAAGAAGAAAACAAATCCTACCATTTGCAACAACATGGATGGAGCTAGAGGGTATTATGCTCAGTGAAATAAGCCAGGCAGAGAAAGACAAGTACCAAATGATTTCACTCATATGTGAAGTATAAGAACAAAGAAAAACTGAAGGAACAAAACAGCAGCACAATCACAGAACCCAAAAATGGACTACAGTTACCAAAGGGAAAGGGACTGAGGAGGATGGGTGGGAAGGGAGGGATAAGGTGGGGGGGAAAGAAAGGGGGCATTACAATTAGCATGTGTAATGTTGGGGGGGGGCACGGGGAGGGCAGTACAACACAGAGAAGACGAGTAGGAATTCTGCAGCATCTTAATATGCTAATGGACAGTGACTGTAATGGGGTTTGTGGGGGGTACTTGGTGAAGGGGGGAGCCTAGTAAACATATGTTCTTCATATAATTGTAGATTAATGACACCAAAAAAAAAAAGCAATGAGTGTTCATAATATTTTAGGAACCTAATTAAAAAAAAAGAAATTATGTACTGATACATGTTATAACATGACTGACCCTCAAAAACATTACACTAAGTGAAAGGGAAAGATCAACACTGTATAATCCCATTTATACAAAATGTCCAGATGAGGCATACAAAGAGTAAAGGAGTGATGCCTAGCTATAGGGGGAGTGGAACAGGTGACCACTAATGGGCACTAAGTTCTAAAATTGTGATGATGACTGCACAACTCTGTAAATATACTAAAAATCATTGAATTGTAGACTTAAAACAAGTAGAGGTTATTATATGCATACTCTTAGTAACACTGTTTTAAAATGAGGATAAAATAGAAATATTTTCAGGTGGACAAAAACAGACAATTCATCACCAGATCTGCACTAAAAGAAGTCTAAAGGAAATTCTTCAGGCTAAAGGGAAATGACACCAGATGAATCGCCAATCTAAGGGAAGGAATGAAAGATACCAGAAATGATCAATATGTGGGTAAATTTTAAAAACTGTCTTTTATATTCTTCTCTTTACTTAAAAGACAACTGCATAAAGAAAATATTATAAGATTGTATAGGATGTCCACAAAATTAAACTTATTTCTTAACAGTATGTCAGTCATATTTTCTAATAATATGCTTAAATATGAACTTAGGTGAACTACCTTTAAATTTTAAGTAATGGGTTCAACTGTTAATCTGGAAAAAAGTACAATAAATATATACACAATAGAATAAATGTTTAATGCAGACATTTAAAAAATCTATTTTTGAACACTGTAAACATACTGGAAGGCATTTGCAAAACAAGTATCTGTCAAACGACTTGTATCTACAATGTAAAAAGAACTCCTAAAACACTAATAATAAAAAGATTAGCAAAATAGAGGCAATAAAAAGTGTGCAAAGATCTAAACAGACCTTAAATACACAGAAGACTTAAAAAGACAATTAATGACCAAAAAGCACACACAAAGGTATTCGACATCATCAGTCATTGTGTAAGAGCAAATTAGTGAAGTATCACACACCCACTAGAATAACTATTATCAAAAGACTGATAACACTAAATATGTTGGTGAGAT